ATATGTTCCTTCCTGTATTGGATATTTTATCATCGATATTATCTACATTGATATTATCGACTACTAGTTGCTGGCAACCGGATAACAGAGATTTGAGATAATATAAAAAGTACGAGTTCGCGTCCCGGTGCCGGAGGGGATTTTAAATTCCCCGCCCTTACCCCCCGGCCCGGGAAAATCCCGTATAGCCTAAAAGGCGAGGTAGGGAAGAACAAAAAAAAAAAAAAAAAAAAAGATATTATCGACTATCTATACCATCTCTTCGATATTTCATACAATTTAAAAAAAAAAATTAAAATTAAAACTACCCCCATATCAGACTGGAACGACTAGAAACCGCCCGACGTTTTCGACTACTGCAGCACTTACTAGACAAACGCTCTAAGTTCACAATCAATTACTAACGACTCATATATATGACAATAATAAGACCTATTTGGACTTACGGAATTGAGCTTTGGGACTCCACTAAACCATCGAATTCCTCTCGTATCCAATTCCCACAATCCAAAATCCTTCGTAAAATCCTCAACGCTCCTTTCTTTGTCACAAATAAAATCATCCATAAAGATCTTAATGTTCCATATGTTTCCGATCTGGCCCATTCCAGATACCTATCCTTCCATAACAAACTGCAGAACCATCCGAATCCTCTCGTTTCAAACCTTGCTTCCTCCTCGATCCCTGATAATCCTTCGAGGCGTCTGAAAAGAAGATGGCCTCGGGACCTCCTAATATAGAACTTTAATTTGAGTTCTACCAATGGGTAGTTTCTCTTCATGTTGTACATGTCATGTTACCAATGTAACATTTACTTATTGTATTTTCCATGTAATACAGTTGTAAATCTCAATAAAATAAAAATAAAAAAAATAAAAAATTAAAATTAAAACTATCGATTTCGGAAAGCACTAGGAACTATTATATATATGAATCTCGTCGTTATAAAAAAAATACTCGTCTTGCCTGTTTCTATGGAATTTATTGCGTATTACAGAAAAATATCGATATTTAAAGTCTGAGATATATGCATATATATGCATATATGCATATATACCATATGCAAAAACCCTTCAATTAGTCGACTCTAACCGACTTTACACGAACGTTACACATCTAAGATCTGAAGGCTCAATCTACTTTACCCTCCAAAAAACAATGCAAACGGACCTAAAGAAGTTTTAATTAAAAAAAAAAAAAATCCGTCTTCGTAAATGGAAACTAATGTGAGTACGTAAAATACATGTTTTCACATGCCAATACACTTTCATTTTTATTATATGAAAGAACTAACATAAATTATCATACATCATATTAAGAATTGGCTTATATTATCAATGGATTGTTCAGAACTTTGTTGCTTCCTCACTACCAAAGGTATGGAAGCATTGTATTTGTTCGAGAGATTAAAACAAATTTTGAGCTCAGAATCTAAAATTTCCACTCGCCTTTCACGTTTCAGACATCAAGGATCAAATTTGGTTCGGTGTCTTCCTTCTGTCTGTAGTCAAATCGATGTAACGGCCATATCACCTACTACCATTCATTCAATTTTCAGGAATTGTGCGGGTTGGTGCTTAGATGGTCCCACATCAATTTTATTTAATTCTATCCAGCATTTCAGTTTACGCACGTGCAAACGCATTTTTGTAGATGTGCCAATATTTCAGAAACGACTTGTTCGATTTGGCTCAAAATTAGATAAAAGGTAGGTATTTTTATACCGACCTGCGAAAGCTGTAAAGTGTAAAGAACTGTCCAACACATCATTCAAGACTGCCCAGTATTTGAGAATGTAAGGAAAAATCTCAATATGGCTCAGAGCCTAAAAGAAAACCTCAGCGACAACGAAAACGCCGCGGAAAAAACCTTACAGTTTTAAAAAAAAATAAAATTCTACAATAGAATATAAATAGGAAGTGTTGCCAATGACTCTGCAGGGTAGAGGCAACAATAAAAAACAAATAAATAAATAATTTTAAATATATTTAAAATAAATTATACTCTGAGCTTGAAAAAAAAAAAAATTTAAAAAAAAATTGTCTTATTTGTAATTGTGTTCACCGGCGGATCTACGGGGGAGCTTTCGGCCTGAAGCCCCTCCCCCCAAAATGGTAAAATATAACCATATTTTACACACAAAAATATTAAAAACTATCTCTATAAGTATTCTTGTTCGTTTAATTATATTTAATAGGATTTCAGGAACCACTTAAACACCATTTCATATAGGTAATTAATTTATTTTTGTTTTTTTTTCAAATTATTTTTAGAAATAGAAATAGAAAAATAACTTTATTCTGGGTCACAGTCCCTTGAGAATAACAAAATAGAACAAAATTAAAATATTACATCTGGCCAAAATAAAATCAATCGAAAAAAAGAAATAATGTAAAAAAAAATATAAGGTAAAAAGTCTATCTACAAAACAAACTAAACTATATACAAAACCATTAATACTATGACAAGACACTTAAAGCTATTTGCTCTTATAGACCAGTATACACTTTTACGAAAAAAATAAAGAATTAAAAAATAAAAATGTATCAAATTCTCTATTAAAATCAGCTCGAATGGTTAGCAACTATCTGACTGTTTTTGGGATAGGAATTGGAATAGGAGGGTTTTGAATGTGGATATGGATGGGGAATGTCGAATTTTGATAGGAAGGGAATTCCAGAAATTGACAGAGCGAACAATAAAGGAATTTTCGGAATGAGGATAATAAATTATGAAGATTTATGAAAAAAAAATCTTTCGGGCTGAAGCCTCCCCCCCAAAAATTAAATCCTAGATCTGCTAGAGATTGTGCTTATATTGCCATTGAAGTTCAACCAGTTCGTCTTGGTCTCAATTTTCTCCTTAAATATCGAAGTTGTATGAACTTCACTCATATTTTTATATTCCACCTTAATTAATTATGTTCTGACTAAAGAAAAGTATTGGTCTCATTAACTCCGAACAAACACCAAGTTGTATTTTTCTTATGGATTTTCTAGTTCCATCCATTTTAGAAACTGAAAACGTACCTATTAAGTATATATCACTAATATTAGTGCAAAAGGTCGCATGTAAAACTTTTCATCTTTTATACTATTTGTGCTAATGGTAAATTTTGTAGTCAGCGACTGAAATTATACTAATAAAGTATAAAGAAATAATTAGTTTTTATGCTCTCTTGTAAAACGATAAATTTTTACATATGTCCTTTTGCACTAACAGTAATGATATCAAATATGGAATATTCAATTACGGCAATCTTTTGCATTTTAATATTAGCTAATAAACGAAATTCGTGGATATCAAACCCGCGATTGTTGAAGGGTAACTGTATTTCCGAATCGGCTCCTCCCAGGAATTTTATTCTCATACGAAAAATTGTATATCTTGTAATAATTTAGCCAATGAAAACGGCGAGGAAGCTATACTAACCTTACTTGGCAGACGTTTTTTAAGTGATGCAATACTATATAAATATAGCTATTTTCTATTGGCTAAAGATGATGATAAGTAAGAGAAAAATAAGACAATAATTTTCTGTAATTCATCTGGAAATTACAAGGAACTTTTGAAATCCTCACGTCAAATTCCTTATCTGGGTTATTAAAACAAAAACAACAAACTAAATATGTTTAAAAAAAATAAAAGCACTTGCCAATTCCATGGGAATCATATAACAATAACAAAGAAAACATCATGTAGCAATAACAAAGAAGTGAAACTATGCTTTAATTGGCAAACACTCTGCATAAGCAACTAGCACTGCTCCATCAATTGCTATAAAAATCTAAATGCATAGAATATGATTTTTAATTCATTATACAAACGAATACATGAATGAAACCATTGATAATTTTGTATACACAATTTAAAAAGAGACTTAAACCTTTTCAAACATGATCAGACTAGTTCACCCGCTATTCTCACGTTATGACATTTTTACGATTATATTTTCTTATCTGCAACTATCACATTCATAGTTTAAAGTATAGAGTTTGACGATAACATTCTGAGTTATTTTATTTCATTCGTTGTATATGGAAACTCAGTGAACAATGCACTGCGCTCCTACGCTACGGGACACGGGTTAGAGATCGGCTGTATTAGGTGTTATAAGAAAAAAAATATATGAGTATGTATAGTGTTTGTAGTTTTTTTTATACAAAGAGTTTTGGTGAGTAGTAGTATAAGATACATAGAGGAGGACGGAGTTCAGTGAGTAAGACTTTATACTCCAATATTTCTGCTACTCGAGTTCGATTTCGGACGTGACATCTAATTATTTATTCTGTTTGATCAGTTATGGATTGACCCTGGCGTCTTGACTATCTAGTGTCCTTTATAATCCTTTATAAACTTAATTAATTAAGAGAACAAACAGAAAATCAGGATATTGTAAGTGTATTTGATATATCAAGAGGGTTTGTGTCGTTTAGTGCAGTTACTGAGTTTTTTTATATCGATAAATAAAGATGAAATTCACAAAACTTCGCTTATGTCAATACGTTCCAGTCTATATTCTAGAATACAATTAATCTTGAAAAAGTTCACGTTTCGAAAAATACATTCGTAATATTTGGTTATATTGAATCCAAGGTACTTGGTTCTTATGGTAGTCTAAAAAGAAACTAATTTTAATTGTTTTAGTTACCAAGACAGTTTACTTCCTAATTCTTTTGTATGAAACATAGAACTGACAGACTTCAGAGCTGAATGTCTGCGGCAGTAATGAAATAACTAAGAAGTACGGCTGGGAAAAAGAAAAAGGATCCCATAAGAAATCAACGAATCAGGGGGTAGTTCAAGATGTATTCTATCATGGAAAGGATAGAAAAGAAACGGAAACGCTTTTAGAATGAAATAACATAGGAAATAATTTGAATAGTACAAGGAAGCTCACTGTTAATTGAATATGTCTTAATGCATCCACACTGAGAAACGCATTAGAAGATGAAGCAGAAGAATTTTAAAAAGCAAATAAAATATTAAGAAAAACATACCATGCATCGGCCCGAAGATTACGATGACAGCAATCATGAGGAGAATGACCCTCATCCTCCGGTTATGGGCGCCTTTCTTGAAGACGAATGCGAACGTATCCTTGATGTGGCTCGGGTCGAAGAAGTCTTTCAAAAAGCCAAAACAGGTCAGATTACGTTCCTTTTCCGGTTTTTTGTCTGTTGGTATCTTATCTTCTGGAAGAATGAAGATGCAATAGAACACGCAAGAAATCGAAAGCGAAGCCGAAAGTGAGAACACACCATAATAACCGATCTTCTTGTAGAGTATACCCGAGAGAGCCATACCGATCGGGACGCTGAAGGAAGAACAACTGCTGACGATAGCAACTCTCCAAGTCCTGTCTTCGACGGACGTCCGGTCTGCTATGTACGAGAAGACGGCCATGACCATTGTCATCCATCCTCCAGTGATAGCAGGGAAGATGGCTTCAGTGAATCCGGCCACTTCCATCGGTACTTCGTAGAAGAAATAGGTGCACAGAATCAGTCCTATCTGTGTCAAGAACTCACCGGCCATAGGAACTATCATACAAGGTCTTCTCCGGGCCCATCGATCCGACCAAGAACCGTAGAAGAGGATGAGGACTGCAGGGAGGGAAGACTGTATGAGAGTCTTCCAAATGGACATCGAGGCCACAAGCTTCTGGATCGCCTCTTCCTCTTTGGTGTAATTCGCCGTATCCCTTCGTTCGAGGGCCGAGCAAACCTGATCGCTGTAGTTGAGGTTGACCCTGCAGGCCTTGTTGAGGTTGAGGTTCTGCGTTGCTAAGCCGGCGACCACGCTGCCGAGGATGTAGGCGAAGAGCATGGGCTCCACCGTCATGTTGGAGAAGATGGTCCATATCCTGGACAAGAGAACCTCCCGCTTCGCCATCTCGTTATCGTCTGGCCAAAGATTGACCGTTGTCCCCACCCAGGTCTGGTTTTCGACCTCGAGAATACAAGGGCTATAATAAGTTACGTAATGGCAACCTTCACATCTAATAGGGGTACATCTGCCTCCGTTCTGGGAAAGCCATTGACTCAACAATCTGTTGTTTAGAACGATTCGAAATGTATAACATAATAGAATATCTAAGTTATTATTTCTTTAATTAGATGACCTAAACGATAATAGTACCCTTTTTTCGAAAGTAGGATCATATAGCACTCCCATAATTTAACTGAAGGACGAATATACATCGTTAAAAAAATAATCTGTTAGAAATAATGCATAGAATGGCCAGTTTCAACACAGCTTAAAATGAATGTCTAACATTAAATGTTTTAGTTTATAGAAGGGGTCTCCAAACTACGGCACCTCCAATCAAGCCCGCGAAAGTTTCTTTGATTTCATGATAAAATTTTAAATAATATTAAAAAAATATGTAATTTAGTCAATTATTCTCACAAAAGCTTACTACAACATTTATTTCATGGGCATTTTCTTTTGGAAAGCTCATTTCACTACTGAAGTGCCATTTATAGCATATATATATATATATATATATATATATATATATATATATATATATATATATTTTTTTTTTATAGATATTAACCATAGCCCGCTGGCCCGACAAGTTTGGAGATCCCTCGTTTATAGTCTTGATCTTTCTTCATTAATTATTTCCTTATCACCTGCTTCCCTTAGTTCTAATTTAACAAATAAATATTGGATGGTAATTTATTGAATTTACTTTATTACTTTTATTTGGACGTTTCAACGACACTTTGAACTTCTCTTCAGCATGATTAATATATAATTTCACAGTATACAATGCACAGCATATGATGCCACAGTATTAGTCCTAGACAAAGTGTAATCATTGACCAAACTGGTTCTAGGACTAATAAAAAAAATGATGAGCGTTTATTTGCTAAATTAGATTTAAGGGCGAGAATTGAGGAGAAAATATTAAATTTATACCAGCAGAAATTAATAAATTAGACTGAAATATTAGGAAATTTACAAAGACTGAATCAATATATTTGTTTGATCTTTCCGTTTTGTATTATGCTTCAAATATCGCTGATTCGGTAGGACAATAACGAGACTAAAATTTAGAAAAATATTTATCACGTCAAAACGTCAGAGATGCTAAATAAAGAAGCTAAATTGAACTAACGTCATGGTATAACGTAAGCAAAAGAATGGATAGAAGAATTTAACACTAGTAGAATTAACTTTAAGTATTATGGGTATGGTAACAATTTTAATTATTTTAGCTTTACTATAAATGATATGATCTGCAGGTATGTCAGTAAGAGATGTCTTACTTACTTTGTAAAAAATAAATGATAAAAATTAAGAACTAAACAAAATTATTTCCTATTAAGAACAGTTCTGTTTCAAACAGGGACAACGCTTCAAACTATATGCTTCTGAGTATCTTTTCCTGACCTAAATATCAGAAGCCAATAGAGTCCGTAGTACAGACCTCATTTTATCAAATTATAATTTGATAATAGTTAATAATTATTAACTTCTGCCTAAAACTTCGTGATTAGCTTCATCTCATCATAACCTATAACTATTTCATTTACAAAAAAATCTAGGAATTGGTGCGTTTTAAATCTGGAGATCGGCATACTTTGTGTATTTAATTAGGTGCTGAAAACTCATGAATATGCATTTGCTTTCGACCTGAATCGTAAGATAATATAATAATAAAAATCGGGGGAAAAAGGCGGTCTTCAAAAATATTGGGAAGTTTGGCCTACATAACCTCATTATATTGACATTTTGGGGGAGGAGGTCACGCCAAACGAAACATAATTTTGTAAGCCAACTTTTTTTTCAAGTTTGTGATCATATTATTATTTTTTTTAGTATTTTTATTTGAGCAGGGAGGGACTGCTCTGGGAAGGTTTTTTTTTTTTTTTTTTTTTTTTTTTTTTTTTTTTTTTTTTTTCCCTAGCCCCTATGGATAAGGATATGAATTATTACAAAATGTTTTCTTGTTTGGCTTTTTGCTGAATCTGAGATTCATTTTAAAGCCTTTTTGTGATATATATTTTTTTTTATGATCTTTTTGTTAATCTTTAGATTAACATTTTTGGGAGTAAGAATGAGGTTTTAAGTCATTTTAAGTCATAGAGTCATAGTCATAGAGGCATTTTAAGAGTGGGGTGAGGAATTGGGAGTAATGTGGTAATTCATAGTTAGTGAGGGTAGTCATATTTTGATTTTATATATAACGAAGACACTACAGTTCTTATTCCCAGAATTATTATGGTTACATATCGGCAATAAGGCGAAATAAATGATGTAGATTTTTAAAGAAATTAAAAATTTGTCCGAACTGTGGTTTCGTTCCGTTTATTTTATGTTGATAAAAAGTAATACAATATGAACTATAGAATACATTAAATTACAGTTATGCAATTTGAGCAACAAGTAGTACAATTAAATGAGCAGTTGTATAACTTGTAAAATGGAGGTTACTGGGGATACCTCTCTAGTAACCTATTAAAATAATAATGCAGTTCAGCTTTATTAAAGCCGTATAAACAACAATAAGTTTGTCTCAAGGCAAAGAACTTTAATAAATTTTCACGTTTTCACTCTTTGCTTCCACATTACCAAAGGTATCTAATTGCAAAAATCCAACTACATAACCTTGAATCTCATGAAAATGGAGGTAAAAAACAAACAAACTCTGCAAAGTTCCACCAATTCAGGCATTATCAGCAACTCTTCACTCTTTGAAACCCAAACAACACAGGCGAATCTACGGGGGAGGGGGGCGGAGGGGGGGAGAGATGAGGAGATAGGAGGAGAACTTTCTGGCTGAAGCCTCTCCCCCCAAAAAATGGTAAAATATAACAATGTTTTATGAAAAAAATATTAGAAAATTATCTGTAAAAATAATCGAGAAAGACTACCCAAAGAAGTCCACTAGAAAACTAGAGAAAGAAGAAGATGGGGAAGACCAAAGAATACCTGGGATAACGAAGTGGAGGAATCCATGATGGGTCATTATGGAAAGCTCCAGATTATCCACCTCTAGGTTAAGGAAACCCACTATTACTGGAAAATCATAATAAAAAAAAAAAAAAAAATAGAAAAATTATCTGTAAAACTAATCGAGAAAGACTACCCAAACAAGTCCACTTATGAAAAACTAGGGAAAGAAGAAGATGGAGAAGACCAAAGAAGACCTGGGATAACGAAGTGGAGGAATCCATGATGGGCCATTATGGAAAGCTCCAGATTATCCACCTCTAGGTTAAGGAAACCCACTATTACTGGAAAATCATAATAAAAAAAAAATAAAAAAATAAAAATATCTGTAAAACTATTATTAGTCGTGTAATTACATTTAATTACAAGACTACAAGAATTACTAATAGACCGTTTCATACAGTTTTTTTTATTTTTCTTCTTATATATATATAAATAAAGTTTTTCCGGATGAAACCCCCCAAAATTAAATCCTGGACCCGCTAGTGCCAAACACATACTACTTGACACAGCAGAATTCTGGAATACAGATGTGGTAAAAGTAAAGTGACAGACAGAGAAGGAATCAAATGTTTTCATCCGTACCTAAAATGTAAAGCGCGAGTGGAAATGTCCAATTTGTCATCTTGAATCTAAGTCATATGTTATTTGTGAAAAATCGTACGCTAAATAAATATGGAACCATGAGTAATGGTTCGACTAACACATCGGTCCAGAAAGAAAGATAGTAAGGGATAGGTGTCATACTTATAGAACTTACCACAATGAGGTCCGTAGAGAAGCAATGCCACTAAGATCAGCAACACAACCCTCTTCCTCCGGTTGTTGGGACCGACCTGGAAGGCAGTGCGCAAGGTGACCTTGATGTGCTGCAAGTCGAAGAAGTCTTTCAGGAAGCCTACAAATCCTATCACTTCATTCTTAGATTTCCTATGGTCATCAAGAGAAGAAACTTCTGGCACCATAAAATATCCATAGAAGAAGCTTAAGGCAACCATGCAAGCAGAAATGGAGAACACCCCGTAGTATCCCAGCGCCTTGAAAAGAACTCCAGAAACAGCACTACCGATCTTATTGCTTACGGAAATACAAACATTGACAATCCCAATCCTCAATGTCTTCGTCTCCAGAGTAGTTATGTCTCCCATGTAGGAGAACACGGCCATGAGGACCGTCACAGAGTCACCAGTGAAAGCAGGAAAGATCACTTCGACCACACTTGTTGCCTGAACGGATAAAAAGTCCAAGTAGGAACAAACGATGAGGCCAACGGCAGCGCAGAAGTCTCCAGCGATCGGAATCAGCATGCAAGGCTTCCTCTTGGAGTTGCGGTCCGACCAAGATCCGAAGAGGAAGATCAGCACAGCGGGAACGGAAGAGTGTAGCAGCGACTTCCATATCGATACGGAGGCGACTAGGTGTTGGACGGCATTTTCCTCTGAGGTGAAGTTGGCTAGGACCTTGTGTTCGATGTAGCCGCAGATTTCGCCGAACTGGAGGTTGACCTTGCAAGCCTTCTCCAAGCTGAGGTTCTGGGCGGCGAGGGTCACCACGACCGTCCCCACGATGTACAAGGATATCATGGGTTCCACGGTTATGTTGATGAGGACGAACTTCGCCCTGGAGAGGAAGGGGGTCGATTTTCCTTCGGCCATCTTCAGGGTGCTGCCTTCACTGGAAGCCTCTAGGGCTGCCCCCACCCTCTGTCTATCTCATCCCCACTCCATGCTTTAGGCCCAAGACTCACAACGCCATTGGAAAATCCACGATTCACCTTAAATTAGTTTCGATTAAATGTCATATGTTTTTTACAAAAATATTATTATAAAAATCTATTAAAAGAAAACTTAGCATTAAAAAGGAAAGTAACGCCTTAGAAATAAACTATGTATTTATAAATCTCACCTTTCAATAAGTTGCTAATTTTATATAATTTTTGAATATATTACATACAAATTTAGGATTTTAAAAATATTTTTTTATAAATTTAATTATTTAATAAATATGTCTCTTTGATTAATGATAGAAAGATATAAAACAATAACAACTTTTATTACTTTACGTCACATTTTTATTTATTTGGAACATTTTACTCGATTTTAGGTATAAAATGTGTATTGAGTAATAAATTAATTTTATGTTTTTTTGTTGTTTTTTTGGATATAAATGCAATAAAAAGTGACCGAATAAAAGAAGATTTTTATTTAAATAAAAAACCAAAACTGGTGTTTTTTTAAATACAAGAGCAAAAACAAAAAACAAGATTATAGTGTGATAAACGCTTATAAGCGTGATTGCTTCAAATAGGCAAGATAAGTCTGAAATGTTAGAAATAAATGATGAGTGATCTATGCTAAATATATAATACAAGTATTTTGTGATGCATCTACAGCTACTAAATGGTTCACTTATCAAAAAAAAAAAGTATCCCAAAAAGCATTACTGTTCTGGTAGTTATTGTTTATTTTTTTTAAACTTCTTTATTGAAAAATATTACAATCTATCTCAAGGACATTATTGTTTATTATTATTTTAAGATTACATAAAGAAAACATTAACATCATTTCATATAGGCAGATTTTTTCCACAATAATTACTGTTTACTAACGATAAAAATTAACGACCTTTTACTAAAATTAAATCTTGAATCAATTACTGGTTAAATGTATGTGTAAACCAATGCAAATAGTAATCTAACAATTAAAAATCATTGGGATAAGGTTTGATTTCCATCAATAAATTGTCTTTGCAGCGATATATTGTATTTTAAATATATAATATATACATATAGAGTGTATATATGTATATTAGGAATGGCTTATATAAATATATTTTTAATTTTAAACGATTGTCTTTGAAATAATATAATATTTATTTAAGATAATTGTTTGAAATAAATTCCTGAGTAATGGACGAATTCCAAAGTGATAAGATGCAAGTGATATCAAATTACGAATAATCGCAGTTCTTCGTCAACAGCAGTAAGATAAGATTGGTCTCATCAACAATATTAATTTGTTTTGTTAAAATAGATTATATATATATATATATATATATATATATATATATATATATATATATATATATATATATATATATAGAAATCTACAAATTGATAATTCTGAAATATTAAAAGAAATTTTGGATGTGTAGAAGATCGTTGTGGTTCGATAGATAAGGCACAGTAAGAATTTGGTTACAGCCCACATTCTATTCGAAATTATTAGTAAGGTTATAAAGATTAAAAGTTAATCTGGTGCGTTGAACACATAACTTTCATTTACCACTCTATTTTGAGTAGAAATTATTTTTTGGTAAAACTGAGCTATAGCTCACATTTAATCTAACATCTTAATTTCGGTCATATAAATCAATGACAAAACTAATTATGAACATCAAAATAGCACAAAACCAGTATTTATTACATCGAGAGAATGCAACGAAAACCTCGTAACTCCAGCAGTCTATTTAAACCAGAAAACCCAGTTATCCGACTTTTTAGAACAGAATAACCTCCTAAATCCCAACCAGTCCGGTTTCCGACCCGGCTACTCCACTCAATCTGCCCTCATCAAAATTTTCAAAGACATTCATACAGCCATGGAACACCAGAAACCCACCATCCTTATTCTCCTTGAATTCTTCAAAGCCTTTGGCTCAGTAGACCACAAAATTCTGCTAACCAAGCTTAAAAATATCTCCTTTTCAACTAGTACTCTTAATTGGTTCCAATCCTTCCTTACCGGCCACTCCCAATATGTTGTAGTCCCCAATAACCTCCCCTCAGAATCTTTACCCTTGTCCAGAGGTGTCCCACAGGGTTCCTCCTTATCTCCCACCCTTTTTCCCATCTACATCAATGAACTTCCATCCTCTATCCTACACTGTCAATACCATCTGTATGCCGACGACGTCCAGATTTGCATGTCCTTCAATCCGACCGCATCCTCTGACGCCATCCAAAAATTACAGGAAGATATAGAAGGAATTTCTACCTGGGCAAACCACAATAGAATCAATCTAAACTCCGAGAAGACGAAAGCCAACCTGATCGGAACGCCCTCACTCCTCAAATCCTTACCAACACTCCCCAATCGTTTCCTGAACTACTCACCTATCTCATTCCATACTTCCGTAAAAAACCTTGGTGTTACATTTGATCAAACAGTCACCTGGAAACCACACATCTCCGAAATTTCCCGTCGTACTATCTCAACCCTGAAACAGTTTAAAAAAATCCGTCTCTGCTATCTCCTTCCATATAAATCCCGACAACTCCTGGTTTCCTCCCTTGTATTCCCCCATTTCGACTATGGCTGTCTGGTGTACGGCGGACTCTCGGGAGAATCCGAGGCCAAACGCATATAACCCAGTATTACACCAATTTGAAGTGGCTCTATCCATCCAACGGTCGTCTGTACTTCCTTGCTACATTTCTATACCAAGCCATCAGAACTCAGCGACCTTCCTATATTTTTCGCAACCTACAATTTAAATATTCCATTCAATCCCGTCCCACAAGATCCCGCAATTCTGACCTCTATCCACCTCCTCATTGAACTGCTGCGTTTGACAAATCCTTTATAATTCAAGCCGCCTCCACCTGGAATACCATCCCTCCCGATATTTGACATGCGCAATCAGTTTCCTCATTTAAATCGCTCCTTTTTAAGCACCTACTTCTTTTCCAATCCGATTGATCATGAAAAGTAGATAAGAGAACTTCTTAAGTTTCTCCAGAAATGATTTTGTTTAAGTATGTTAGTTTATTTTCACAAGTTTGTATTATATATATCTGTATGTATTTAGTGTTTTTTTTTATTTTTCTTCCAATATTTTTATTTTAATGAGCATTGCAAATACTTTTTTTTTTTTTTTTTTGTTATTTTAAATTTGCCACTGCGTTGGAAGGCATCAAGCAAATGTGTTGGCGTTAATTATATCTTCTTGAATTCCTGATATCTTCTTAACTTTTCAGCAGATCTCTAGGCCACTGAAAAGTTAGGCAGTCTTCTTTGAGGCTCATCAGGTAACAGGGAGGAAGATAGAGATAGATCGAGTGGATTTGGATGATTGAGAGTAGAAGTGTGAAATGTTTAATGTGTGATTATTATTATAAAGTGTGAAATGAAGTGCGAATATTTAATTTAATTTTATGGCCACACAGGCATTTCCTCTGTATCTATAATTTGTCTTAAAGGGACAAAAATCCAAGGATGATAAAAATCCAAATCCAAAAAAAAAAAACGTAAATTTTCTTCAGGTTTTGTTTATTTGTCATTATAGATATATTCTTTCCTAGGAAGATTTTATTTTTAGTTATTTATATATAAACATCTAGAAATACCAGGGAGAGAGAACGGAGGGGAGAGGGAGGAGGCTTTCGGGTTAAAGCCCTCCAACCCCAATATGGTAAAATATAACCATGTCTTATGAAAAAAATATTTAATAATTACCTCTAAAAGTATTATTGTTAGTGTAATTACATTCAATAATAATTAAAGGATCACTTAAACTCCATTTCATATAGGTAGTCAGTTCCTCCCTTTTTCCTCCAAAGTAATAATCGTTATATATTTTTAAAATAAATCTTTCGGACTGAAGCCCCCCCAAAACTAAATCCTGGATCCGTTAGTGTAGTAAGCGTAAGTATTGCGATCGTAAAATTTTCGAATCCGAGTTTTCAACGGAAATACACGTTTTGAGGTCCCCAGAGCCCAAACAAATAACCAAGTCCAGCAAAGTGGTCTGTGTATTTTGTAAATGTCTGGGACGTTACAGCAATTTTTTCGTCAAAAACGGCAAACCGGAAATGGTACCTTATTATCGATTTAACACATTTTTACGATTTTCTCAAAAACGGCTTTAATGATTTTTATTAAACTCACGAGGCCAGTGTGTTATTAAGTGGTTTTTAATTTAAGGTAGGTTTTATCCTCATCAATGCAACCTGACAGTGCATAAATGCCGATTTTTTTCAAAACGTCTTCCTCTAAAGTATCTTTATTTTTTTTTTATTTTAAATAATTAACCATTTCACATTTTAACGTTATTTAACGGAATTAAAGAGTAGGAAGTTATACGCAACGAGCTATGTAGGAATCTCGACTGTTTAGCCGAGAGCGCCCGACCTTTACCGATCTTCTTTACAGACACCCGGTACTCCTGTGGACAAGGCTTTCATATTGTTGGTTCAACTTTAATAATTTTTTAAAAAGTTTTTCATGCTTATCTTAAGGATTTATTAATACATATCATATATGCAATATTTACTAACGTTAGTTTATTTCGTCGACGAGTTTCGAGAAAAATGTTTCCGATAAAATTCAAAATTCTTCCAAAGGATCCATTTTCCCCAAAATCATTAGTATTGTTTGATACTATAAACTGTTGTCAAATAAAATGTAAAATGATGTATATGTATAAATCTAACTGATTCGATGACCAGTAAAAACATGGTAATTAATTGAGGGATGATGGTTGACTGTCGTGAATAATAAAGAGAAGAAAGGTTGGGGTGATCAGTCAGAAATAAAATGGCAAAAATAACTAATATTTATTTTAACATTTGCCGAGGTTTCGACCTGAAGGTCAGGCCTTCATCAGGGCTGTTCTAAGAGGTTGCTTGAATAGAGTCTACATAGCTCATACCACTCTTTTCAAGCAATCTCTTCGAACAGCCCTGATAACAACCTTCAGCCCTGATAACAACCTTCAGGTCGAAACGTCGGCAAATGTTAAAATAAATATTATTATTTATTTTTG